TCTGTGGGAAGAAGGCAGAGTTAACGTTTCGAGTCGGGTAACTCTTCATCAGATCAATACGAGCCTCATTGATTTATTTTTGTATGTATATGATATATTTCAGCAATACATAGAAGCTAAACTCTGTTTGGACTTCCACTATTCCTAGTTTTACACCATTTGCATAATACTCAGATGTAATCTTTTTGTCCAAGATTGATGACCAAATACTTATTGAATTGAAATCCATTTGCTATTCAGTTAATCTATTAATGTCTCTGTAATTTTGTGCTCCTTTCTACATTACTTGCTATACTACCAATTCTTGTGACATCTACAAACTTGGATATATGGCTCTTTATTGTGTTATTTAAATTATTATTAAATATGATGAATATTTTAGGTGTAGCACAGTATCTTATGGGATACCACTAGTCTCTACTATCTTCTCATCAACTCACTCATTTGCCTTGCCATGAGCTTTAAGTTTAGCTAATGGTCTGTTTGTGGAACTTCATATAAACCACCTACAATGACATCCATCTGTCCACTATGTTTGCTGCTTCCTCAAAAAAGTTCAGTAAAATTGTTAGACATGACTTAGTCTCTCTAACCAAATTTCTCAAAGTTCTCAGTTACTCTGTTGTTAAATATAGATTTCAATGACTTGCCTACAACAGATACTAACAATCCTTTAATTTTCTTGTTTCTTCATTTTTCTTAAATATGAGCTAAATGTGCAAATTTCCAAACTAAAAGGGAAATTACTGAATTGACAGAACCAGACGAATATGGCTAAAATATCTGCAGTTTCCTCAACAACATCATTTAAAATCTTAGCTTGAAAGCCATTAGGTCCTAAGGATTTAGCAATCTTTAATGCCATTATTTTTTATAATACTGTTTCCTTGCTTAATCTTACTTCAATAATTTTCAGAACTTGATTGCTATTAGTTTTCCTTGATTTTTAGGAATTTTTCCTCATCCTCCATAGTGATGACTGACTCATAGTAATTATTCAGCAAGTCCACAATTTCCTTTTTACATTTACAGTTTTGCCTCTATCCATTTTATTAAAGGTAACTACATTTACTCTGGACTGTCTTTTTCTTGAAACATAATGATAAAATCCTTTCGTGATAATCTTGAGACAAGTTAGACCTATAATGATTTATCAGAATACTGCTGAGGAAAAGCCTAACCTCAAATGTCACCTTGTCTGGTGTTTCAACAGATGTTGACTGACTTGTTAGGCATGATTTTAACTTATCAAAGGTGATATTAACTGTGATGCTCCTACCACTGCCCTTCAGAAGCAGGAGCATAGCCTGATTTAAGCAGTAGATCCCTTTTCATATGCAATGAGATTCTATAACATATGCAGAGCCTGGACAGGTGGTGTCCCTTTTCACCAGTTTTACTGGTGATACAACTGAAGAACTGGAAAAAGGTCCTTTGTAATTATTTTTGTCGAGTGAGCAGTTGAGGGAGTAGTCATCCATGTCCCACAAATCTAGCCCTATTGCCCGTAATTGTCAACACCTGAAATTCCTTTGCTACTGGCCTGACTCTGACAAGCTGTTCGGAAGGTTCACTTTGGGCGGTCTGTTTCAATGAACCTCAGAATTGTAACAGCCTGTTTGGTGCCATAAAGGGCAGGTAGGCAGCTAGTTTTGTAGTATACTAAATCAACCTTGCTGCATCTGTCACATTCATGCTGAGAATTTTATCTGTCCGAATCTCTCGGATACTAAGATCGCAAGATATTGTGCAAGTCAAAAAAATATATAATTATATCTTTGAGTGTGTTCAAGCTATGCAAAGCTCAAAATATTTATATGGAAGGAAGTGAAACAATATTCTGCTGATTTATTCAGTAGTTATAGATTTAGACAGATGAATTTAGAGATATTTTAAGCTGCTGAGCAATACAGGGTGCATTACTTTATTGCAGTGGTTTTAAAAATTAAAGAAATGTAAAGAAAGACAGATTCACATAATATCATATTTTGTTTTGATCAATAAAGAAAAGCTTAGCAGTTTTGTTAAAACAGAACATTTGCCCTTTAATCCCGTTTAAATAATTTGCACCTTGGCAAATTTGACTGTATATTTCTTTTCTATCTATGTGCCAGGTTGGGGCATTTCTGCTGTTGTGTTCTCACAGAGAACCACACACGTCTGACTTGACTAACCCACACAGTTATGAGCCAACACAAAACTCATAGACAAGACAAAGTAAAGTTTAATTGCTGTTATTTTCATGATAAATGAAGTCTTCTCCCCATCAGCTCTGGAAAGTTAGATGATCCAGCTATCAGGAAGGGAGTGGGAAGCTGATGAAAAATGAGGCAACCTTTCAGCTGTGAACATCGATCTGAGTCTCAGAGGATTTTTCTTGGACAAATTGAGAGACCATTAGTGTAACTTAAAGTCTGAGAGAAATCTGTCAGATCCGTGATGGCAATAGCAGCAGTGCATGAAATATATTCAAATAGCTCATGTGAGAATCTCTGCTGGGCAAACTAATCAATGGTGCTTCCAAATGGCAGAAGCTTTAATAAAATTCATGGGGCAAGAGAATGGGGCTTAAGGAAACCTCTCCCAACTTTCTCTATGATTAGGTCCATTATTTATGATGTGACAGAGATGCAGAAAATAAAAGGCATTCAATAGCAATGAAATTGAGGCTGCAGCGCAAGGTAGGAAAACATGTCAGATTGAAAATGTGGACCTCCTAAATATTCTCATTAATGTGCATATAGTCTGCAGTGGAATTTTAAAAGGAAAAAAAAATGATTAGTAGAGCTAGGAATTTTAATGTTCCACTGCATATATAGTTTGCAGAATGGTCAGATTGCATAGAGGTAATACTGGAGCCAATATCAGGAGATTCCTGTTATATCAGTGAAACTATTAACTTTCTCCTGCCTATCTGGGCACATAAAATTCATAAAAATTGATCATATAATTTCCATGCATCAAATTTCTGGTCCTTCAGCAAACTTTAAATGTGTAACATTGGATTTATGCTCTAAGGAAGTGTGCAATATTGTGAATTATGATTGCTAGATAATTAATGCTCCAAAGTCTGATGCAGCAGGACAACCATCAAGGTCTGCTGTTTGTTGGATTTACCCTTGCCACAGTTAGATCCAGTAATACCTTTCAGCACATTTGCTACAAGCTGTTATTGGCAGAGTGAGGGAAAACCAGGTGTCTGTGACCCGAGTGAGCAATCAGACCAAAGATTGTGAAATAAACCGTGCAAATACAGAGAAGGAAGTGTTTGGTGTATTGGGTGAATGAACAAGGTTTGGATATTTATCTGTGAGTTGAGTGCTTAGAGTCATGAGACTTCCTGGCTCTACAGGCCTGATTTTTAAAGGGGGCTGCCTTGCCTGGGAATATGGGCTGCGTTCGAACTCAGAAGGTGACCCCACCCAAAGATGTGCAGAAGACCTGCCTTGGGGTTCTGGCACTATGTCCAAATGTTTAAAAAAGGAAGATAATTATCTCTCAAGCACTCACTCCTCACATACCCTCACCAGCTGCACACTGCCCTTGCTCATCCACGCCAACCCAATGCACCTCATGCACTGTACACACACCCCTGGCCCTTTTTACAATCAATGCCATATTTAAAGGGCAGGACTTTAAATGCCTTGCCAGCTTGGTAGTACCTTTTGACAGTTGGCTTTAACATTCCTGTTGACACTTCTGATAGGTCACAGAATCCCACCAGTGCAGCCCATCGAGTCTGCACTAACCCTCTGCAGAGCATCCCGCCAGACCCAGCCCCCTACCTTTCCCTGTAACCTTGTATTTACTATGGCTAAACCACCTAGCCTGCACATCCATGGACATACAGACAATTTAGCATGGCCAGTCCATCTAACCTGCACATCCTTAGACTGTGGGAGGAAGCTGGAGCACTTGGTGGAAACACATGCAGACACGGGGAGAACGTGCAAACTCGACACGGACAGTTATCCAAGCTGGAATCAAACCTAGGTCCCTGGAGCTGTGAGGCAGCAATGCTAACCACTGATCCACTATGCTACTCATGATCAAATCCAAAGGGCTAACTTATCTTTATAAACAGATACTTTGGATATCCAAAGAAATCTACATCACTCAGATTTTCTTCTCTCAGATCTCCGCTGTACATTTTGGAATGTTAGTCCTTAACTCCTAAAATCCGACTTAAGTGGAAGGGGGCTGATAATTAATTCACCATTCACTTCTGTTAAACCACTCAAACACAAATGCAAATAACAGTTCTCCAGTTTTCGCAAAATTGTTTGCAAGTGTTTGTTGTGATATCTCGGTTTCATCTACCATTTTCATCATGGTGAACAGGCTTTCCCTGCATTTTAATGAAAATTTACGCCAAATTCAGGTACAGAAGGAAAAATAAACTGAAGCAAGGAACAATAAATGTGAAATGAAAAATTGAAGTAAGGATATTAAAACTGACACTTTTAGAATATGCAACAAGTTAGGCCTGAACGAATAAGGCTTCACATTGTAATTGCGAGAATCTTACAGCTTAAACAGAATAAAGACCGAAAGAACTGCAGATTCTGAAAATCCAAAACAAAAACAGAAATTGCTGGAAAAGCTCAGCAGGTCTGGCAGCATTTGTGGAAAGAAATCAAAGTTAATGTTTTAGTTCTGAGGAAGGGTCACTGGATCCGAAATGTTAACTCTGATTTATTTCCACAGATGCAGCCAGACCTGCTAAGCTTTTCCAGAAATTTCTGTTTTTATTTCTGATCTTGAACAGAAACTTTGTATCAAAGCATATAGCTGCTCTCAACTGAAGCTGTAGTGGTATTTGTGCATAAATTTCAATGAGGGCCATGAATCTTACTTGAAATCTAATGGCTATTACCATTCTTTTTAGAGTGTGGTACATGTTTCTTCATTGTGTATGGAACAAATAAATCTACCTTTTTATAAGAGGAGTCCTACTGTCTGCCCACATTGTATAAATTTCTTTTTCCCACTCTTTTTAGGATGGAAATTAAATCCAGTTGTGGGTGCAGTATACAGTCCTGAATTCTATGCAGGTAAGGGAACTCACGTTCAATCTTAATCCAAAGTTTTCACTTCAATGTCTTGTCAAATTTGTTAGTATCCCAAACAATTGGTTAAATGGCTAATGACCACGGCATTCATTTCAGGAGAGAATGGAGTTATAATGTCACAGATGAGCTTTAATTATTTCCTTCATGAATATACACAGTGTGCAACAAATTCTTATGCATTATGATATTTTTATATAATGCAGTTAAAACTTTAAAATAATTGCAGGTGAAAATTTGACCTGTTGCAATGTTTCTATTTTTTTTAATTACAAGAGCAGAAACACCAGAATACTGAGAATACTTGTCATGGTTGTCTTTTGATCATAGAAGACAATGCAACTATGGGGAATATCTATCTGCTGTACACAATCTTTGCAGAGAAATATGTTCCATTTTAATGAGAGAACATTTGAATGAAGCTTCAGTGGCTATTGAAGGTTGTGTTTGTTGGCCAGCTTGCGGTGCCAGGGTATGATTTGACATTTTATTCCTAAATCTGTAAGGCATTGGGAGATATCATCCTGATATGATAAACATGCTATAAATGCAAGTTGGTTTTCAATATTTTACTTATGCACCACGAAACTTCAGAACATTGATGAGAGGATTATTATGGTTGCAATTGTGCCAATGATGTGGTTGACCCTTGAATAATATTAAATGTAGAGCCGTTTATTTTCAAAACCTAAAGAATTGCAGATGCTGTAAATCAGAAACAAAAACAGAAATCGCTGGAAAAGCTCAGCAGTTCTGGCAGTATCCATGGAGAGCAATCAGAGTTAACGTTTCGGGTTGAGTGACCCTTCCACAGAACTGTATATTTTGAAATTGTTATACATTTGTTCAGTTTCTGTCTTCCACTTCTGTAAGAACATTGTCTCGAAGTGCACACATTATGTTACATAGAATTAATAAGGTGCCTGTGCCTCAAGTGGTCAAATACTTGTTAGACATCCTTTAAGTTTTCAATGTTATTTTACCGGGATCCCCAGCAACAAGTGAAAGCAGTGAAGGAGGGCATTGTGCAAGGGAGTGAAGAGGAGCTCTTGTAGTGCAGTGGTCGTGTCCCTACATCTGAACCAAGAGGTCTGGGTTCAAGTCCCACCAGCTCTAGAGGTGAGAAGTAACATCTCTGAACAGGTTGATTAGAAACATGTAAGGGAGCTAAGGAATTTGTACCTTCCACCACCAGTTAGCAGTGGTGAGGGAAGGCAGCTGAGGCAGTTGAACAGACTCTTGCTTGAAAAGAAAATGCCTTTGGTTGAAGCAGGACTGTTGGGAAGTGTGGGATTGGTGAACAGACCAAGGAATTCCTCAGTCCAGTGTAACCCACAGACCCATTCCAGGTAAATACACTAAATAGTTTCTTATTTATCTTTAATTTCTCTTAATATTTATAATGTTCTAATTTTAGTGGAATAAATGATCTGCCTCATGATCTTTGGACTATTGTGAGTTCAACTCTTGTTACATTCTGGTATCAATATCGTGTGACATTTGTGTTATACACGCTAGTCACACTGTTCTTCCTTGACCATATTATACCAACTTCTTGTTCAGTTTATTTTTGTAACTATAATAACAGATATTTCCTTACCTTGGTTTGTAACATGCATTAATTCTGAATATCTGTGCTCAACTCTACAAGTGATCAACTTGCACAATTCAAAACATTGACTTTAACCTAATTCTCTCAGTGGAGCTGAACATCTGTTTTATATCTCATACAATTTTGCTCGCTACTACAACCCTGCAAATTTGGATTAGGTTCTGAATATTCTGGATTTGTTGATCTCTGTAGCAGTTCACATTGTTTAACTTGAAGTTGAGATGAAATATTTGGGTCCAGCTACAGAACATGTGAAGCTGATCTGTTAACGTTACACATTAATATTGCACTGAGTTCTATTTTTCAACCATGTTGCTGATTATGGATTTTGCGATGTTAATCTGAGCTATTTTACAAACATTTCAAAGTCCTCTTGCCTGCAGGCTATAGAAGCACTGGAGAGGGTCCAGAGAAGATTTACAAGAATGATAGCAAAAATATTAGGAAAGGACTAATAGCATTTTAGTCTCATTTGGAGCACTGTCTTCAGCTCTGGACACCACATTACCGGAAGAATGTGAAGGCATTGGTGAGGGTGCATTAGAAAGATGAGAAAATTTGAGACCATTCCCCTGGAGTAGTTTGAGAGGAGTTTTGGTTGATATATTCAAAAACATGAGGAACCTGGGAAGAGAAGATAGGGAAAAACTGTTCCCACCAGTGGAAGAATTGAGAACCAGAGGTCACAGATTTAAAGTAATTCACAAAAGAAATGTGAGGAAAAGTCGCTTCACACAGTGAGTTGCAAGAAAGCACTGTCCGTGAATATGGTAGAGGCATACTCAATTGAAGTTTGGGTCTGTTTCTTTCTCAAAAATATAAGACTGCAGGCTGACCTACTGAAAGTATTTAAATTTATGGAAGGCTTTGACAGAGTGGATACAGAGATGGTTCCTCTTTTTGGGAAAAGCATAAATAGAGGTTGTCAGTGTAAGATGGTCACCAAGAAATCTTAGAATGTGTTCAGGAGGAACATATTTTCGGGAAGGCTGGTAAGAAGTGGAGGTTTCCACCACAGGTAGTGGCTGAAGTGAATGCTATAGATGCCTTGTTGGGGAAGTTAGGCAGACATTCGATGGAGAAAGAAGCAGAGAGGGTGTACAATGATAGACTTATGTGAGGAAAGATGGATGGAGGCTCAGGTGGAGCATAAACACCACCATGAACTGATCAGAATCATTGGATTGGAGCAGCTCAAAAGAAGACCACTCTGCCCATTGTCTCTGTTTCAAGCAGCAATTCACCTTTTCTGCTTTTCCCCCGCAATTTTTTTTATCTTTGGATAATTTCCTTTTGAAAACTTCAGTTGAGTATGCCTCTACCATATTCACGGACAGTGCTTTCTTGCAACTCACTGTGTGAAGCGACTTTTCCTCACATTTCTTTTGTGAATTACTTTAAATCTGTGACCTCTGGTTCTCAATTCTTCCACTGGTGGGAACAGTTTTTCCCTATCTTCTCTTCCCAGGTTCCTCATGTTTTTGAATATATCAACCAAAACTCCTCTCAAACTACTCCAGGGGAATGGTCTCAAATTTTCTCATCTTTCTAATGCACCCTCACCAATGCCTTCACATTCTTCCTGTAATGTGGTGTCCAGAGCTGAAGACAGTGCTCCAAATGAGACTAAAATGCTATTTTGTGCAGGTGTATTATAACATCTATCCACTCCTAATAAAGCCCAGAATGCCATATATTAAATTAACGACTCTCTTGACCTGTCTTGCCACCTTCAATGATTTATAGCAACCTACGTCCTCCGCTCCTGTGCCCCCTTTAGAATTGCACTTTTTTTTAATGTTGTCTCTGTGTTCTTCTAACCAAAATGAACCTTTTCATACTTCTCTGCATTAAATTTCATCCACAACTTGTTCGCCTATTCTGCCAGTCTGTCTACATCCTTTACAAATGCTACACTATTCTCTTTACGGTTCATAATACTGTCATGTTTTTTAATTACCTGCAGATGTTGAAATTGTGCCCTAAACACCAAGATTATATATCATTAATATATAAAGGAAGAGCAATGACCTTAGGATGATCACTGGGAACTCCAATATAATCCTTCCTCCAGTCCAAAAAATATTCACCGCAACTCTTTGTTTCCTGTCGTTCAGCTGATTTTGTGTCCATGTTGCAATTGACCCTTTTATTTTATGACTTCAGACTCTCCTCACCAGTTTATTGTGTGGCCCTTTATAAAATGCTTTTTGAAAGTCCCTGTACACTCTATCACCAGCATTACCCTCAGTTACTGGGTTGGTAATAAGTTGAGAACAAGGTCTCACAGTGAAAGTTCAGAAGGGATCCGAAAAGGAAATACGAAACTAGTACATGCCAAGAGACTAGCAGCTAATATTTAACGTAATCTAAGAATGTCTTCTACAGGCATATAAATAGCAAAAGAATGGTCAAAGGAGGAGTTGGGAACGTTAGGGACTAAAAAAACTGTTTGACACATGGAGGTAGGGGTCATGACTGAGGTATCAAATACTTCTTACCTGCCTTCACCAAGGAAGTAAGGAAAGAAGCAGAGATTCTGATCCGCTGCACAAACCTCCTGGCCTCTTTCACAGTGATCCTGATGAGTTTCATAGGGGTCCCTGTCGACTTCACAGTAATCATACACTGCTTCACACTTAACCTGATCAGCTGTACAGCTTGTTTCTACACCAAGAAACCGATGTAATTCTATGTAATTAATTACCTTCTCCTCATCGTTGGGTCAGAATTACAGATGCTTGCTGGTGATTTCAGTGTTCAGTTTTCATCACAATCCTTCAAATAATGAAGCAACCCATCCCACACGTGACAAAACATCCAGGCTTAGGTTGATCAGCGGCAACTAACACTTATATCACACATGTGCCAAACAATGACTGTCTTCAACCAGAGAGAGTTTACCTCCTTCCCTTGACATTCAACGGCATTATGATTGTTACATGCTCTACCATTTACCTGAAGTTTGATTGAACCAGTCATTCAAATACTGTGATTTTAAAAAATATAGCATGTTTGATATTTTTTGATGAGTGATGTACCTAACTTTCCAAATCATTTCACTGCAAACAAGGAGAGCGATGGAATACTTACACTTGGCAGGGTGAGTTTAACTCTAACAACATGCAAGAAGCTCAGCAAATCCAGGAAAATCAGGTCACTTGCTAGGCACTCTAAACATTCCGAAACATGCCTTAAACATTCAGTGTTATCACCATTAACTAACATGGCAACAGTGCGTTGCCTCTTTCAGGTGCACTGCACTAACTCACAAAGTTTCCCTCAAATGCATGTCCCAAATCTGCGACCTACGTCCATCAGGACAAGGGCAGAAGGCTCACCAATTACACCGCTCAAATCACTCAACATCTCC